GCTGTTCGGTGTAACGGGGAACTGTGCCGCCTGTAGCAAGCTCATCCCCGCCTTTGAGATGGTGATGCGTGCCAAGGATAATGTGTACCACCTGGACTGCTTTGCCTGTCAGCTTTGCAACCAGAGGTAAGCACAGCTAGTACGTTTAATTTGACCTTCCAAAAACAACGCCACTCTGCAGGCTGGATATTGATTTAACAGGTGGGAATGGTTTTTGCTAGACCAATTAATCTCAACATTCTGAGGTTCTGCAAATGTAAATTCAACACCAGAAACAAACCTTTGAGGGGAAAGGTCTTCAGACTAGCTTCAAGAGAAGAGTGTTATGTGACAGCAACTGGATACAGAAGAACTTCTCCTTAACATCCAGACCTGTCATTCATTCTTGCTACTGCCTTACTATCTCTTAATGTGGCAGTTTGGAATACCTTTCATGCATGTAGTGACATGGTTCAGTGAGCAAAGTATTCCCTGCACAAGTGTGAGAACCTGGGCTCAAGAGCCTTGTCACGATGGACAGCTTAGCACTTTTCTGTAATTCTAGTCTTCCTACTGCAAAACGGGGATGATTGGGAGGGAAATGAGAGAATTCCAAGAGCTTAGGAGCCAACTAACCCGGACTACTCAGCAAACAACAAGCATCCAAACTAAGTAGAGGGGGAAGACTGACCCCGAAATCCGTCTTCTGACCTCCATGCAGGCATGCGTGTGTATGCATGAACGAGCACACACAGACACTCACACACTGCAAACACACGTACACACACCCCTCTACCTTTGGCCTGTTGTATGATTGTTTTAGAGACAAAGAATCGGTAACAGGAAGTTCATTTTCATCCTATTTATGTTCCTAGCTTCACTAGCTTGACATCTTGTGGAATTCTAAGCATGACATCTGTATACTCTTAGCTACCACCAGCCTCTATGAGAAGGAGGTGAAATGTATCTAATGATTAAATAGTCACCAGCATTAGACAGCAGTGGAGAGAATAGTCCTCAGAACTCTAGAAACCTAAGCTGCAGTTTGGGTTCGGCCACAGACCAGCTATGCTGTCTTAAACTAACTACATCATCTCTCTGGATCCAATTTCCACATTTGTAACTTTTGGTTAGTCAATTTTAAAATTATTTCAACTAATACTATAATAAACCCTTCACTTTTTCCTCATCAAAAATTTTACACTCCTCAGTGGGAATTATTGTACAGCTATCACCTGTTTTCATAGAATATTACAAATGTGCCCATCAGGGCTGCCTTTTTAATCTCACTGTGTCGGAGGTAGAGGAAGGTAGATCTCTGTGAGTTCAAGATGATCCTGGCCTAACAAAGCAAGTTCTAGAACAGCTGGAGCTATGTGGTAAGATCTTGTTTCAAAAGGTAAACAACCAAACAAAAATGGCAAAATGATAAATAGCAAAGCCATGGTTTGATTGCTTGCTGGAATATCAAGAAAGTTCAATATCTGTGAAAAAATATTCACACACTGGAACACCAGTAAATATTGCTTCAGATTCTAAATTTACCCAACTTACTCAGAAAAATCTAGTTTGATTCAAAGTCTTTTCACGAGGCCCCACAAAAGAACAGGATATTCTTGGTAAGAACAGATTCAGATTCTGGCTCCAACATATATTAGCTAATATATTAACTGGGATTTTCAATGTTACTTAATCTCTCTAAATTGCCACAGTTTCAGTGTCAATAAAATGGAAAAACAGATACTTGTCTTGTAAAGCCTGGAATTTGAATAAAATAATATTCATTAGTCAGTGGGTAGATTGTCAAAAGTTGTTTCTTCTATATTTGTAATTTGCCCCATCCAAACTATACCCCAGTGACTTAGTATTTCTATGAGATCTGCACCTTAAGATGGTTAGAACATCACCTGTTAGAACTTATACTGCATTTATCTGGGCAGCAAACCAAGAGCCGCCTTGTGTTTTGTTTCTTCCCAACAAATGTTTTAGGTCAACGGAGGCTTAAGGCAGCTTAAGGTGGCTCTTAGCCAACAATAAATTGATAAATGCACATGTTATTTTTATAAAAATAGGGATATACAAGCATGAATGTGCACACATCCATCCAGAAACACTTATATGCATGTGAACATGTTCGTGTACAAACTTTAAAGATGTGTTTGCCATGATGGTAGACAACCTCTGTTTACCTGACTGCCTGCTTCACTTATGGCAATAGCAAATGACAACTATCTTTAAGCAAGCATCTTGTACAGCTGTTTACTTAGAAAAGTTCATGCATTTATAGAAGAAAATTTAAAAATTAGAAGGAATTCCAACTTTCAATATTGTAAAAGAAAATATTATTTTAATATATAGCCAACCACGATTTTTATGTATACACGACAAATTATGTATAACCTCTCTATATTATACTGCTATAACAGATTTTTTGAGTGTTAATGGGAATTCCCCACATGATGGAAGTGGAGGCAGGAAGATCCAGATAGTTGCAAGCCTGGGGTACATGGCTTGTCTACAATTGTCTACAATTGTCTACAATTAGTAGTAGTTGTTGTAGATATTTTTGTTGCTATTGTTGTAGTGGCGGTGGTTACAGAAGCAAATCATGAGGTTTGGAGGGCTTTGAAAGGCAAGGATGCCTCTGAGGGCGTTAAAGAAGTGAGTGGTGAATCTCATGCTAGTACACAGAATGAACTAATAAAATGCTGTGCTAAACAATTTAACAAGGAAGCTTCTTAACGTGTGATATTTGAACTCTTCCATTGAGTCTTTATTATGTATCTTTTTACTTGCCATTGAAATGTCGTCTAAGATATTCTAAGCTATTTTGCATTCAGTTTTATCAGGTATTAAGGCATATTGTGTGATTCGATGCTTTTGTTATTTCTACAGTGCATTTTCTATCCACTGACTCTCTAAGCAGATGAATGCTCAAATTTGTGTCAGGATGAGTTCACAGGAGTGTAATTAGTTAGACAAGGAATACAACAATTGGAAAGCTTAGGGTAAATATTGACCAAATGATATTCATAAAAGCAATACCTATTATTCTCATACCAAATTTACTCATGATCTCGCATTCACCCTAACAGTAGGGCTTATTATTTAGAAAGAAATTCTTGTCACCTTTAGAGTTGAAAGCTGCTACCTGATTATAATTTTTAATTGGTGTTTATTTGCTCACTTGTAGCCCTTCAGAGTTTTCTCCTCTGGTAAACAGTTTATGCCCTCTGCCCATTTTTCTCCTAGGGCAGGCTTCCATATTTTATCTATGTTCCACACTGAAAATGAAAGCATCATTCAAGTGCTAAACTCAGCCTAAATCCCATTATGATGCAAAGTAATTGAAGGTGGTTAATGCTATTTACAAATCATAGATCAGTTTTATTTCATCATGGAAATAAAAAGTTACATTCACAATTAAGTCTGTCTGCTTAGTAGAACTCAGTCAAGTAAGACAAACACTTCTAAATTTTGACTCTTAAAAACTGTTCACATTCTTATGGCTGCAAAACCTTAATCCAACCTCATTACAAAAGCACCTAATACATTTCTGTGTTCGCTTCATTTATTACCTGCCGTAAAGGGGCTGCATATCTGTAGCACTGGTTATGCACAATTAGCACTTGGTGATTGTCTTGTCACTGTGGCCCTTACAAGACAAACTTCCCCAATGCAGGGAGTCGGCTCATCTTCATCAGTCAAGCAGAGCACACAGATGTGGTCACCCTGAATACAGAAGGGTTTCAGGAAAGGAGATCCTCCTCTTCTTCCACTGGCATTTGCTTCAGAGAAGCATCCAGCACAGCCACCTCCTGGCCAAGCCTGTGCGAAGCCTTGTCTCAACTCTCATCCTTCCCAGAGAACCAGGAGGGAAAGGGGTTATTCGTGGACATATTCCCTTGAGCAAACTTCACTAATATTTCAAATTATGAAATTATAGAAATGTATTAATTTTATTCAATACTTGTATTAGTTTTTGTATTTAAATATGTGTTTATTATATGGACTTATTTATCTTTAGATTCCTGGGGATTGAACCAAGAGCCTCATCCATTCTTTCTTGACAGGCACTATACCACTGCTATGGCCACAGCTCCACCCCCACCCTCTTTTTTTTTTCATTGAGACAGGGGACACTAATTTTCTGGTGTAGCTATGTTCTATAGCCCATGCAAACCTTGAACTCTGGATCCTTCTGCCTCAGCCCCCGGAGTAGTTAGGAGGCATGGCAGGGCAGTCCTACTTGCCATTTACACAGCATCCATATAAAACATCAAGCAAGTGGTTTCACACCTGTAACCTTAGCACTGCAAAGCAGAGACAGAAGATCCCTGAGCTGGCCAGCTGGCTAGTTAGCTGAATGTGTGAACTCCAGAGTCAGTGAAGGACTATCTTAAAGTAAAGAAGGACCAGCAAGATGGCGGAGTGGATAAAGATGCCTGAGACTCTGAGTATGATCCTTGCAATCCACACTGTAGAAGGGAAGAACTGACTCCCTCAAGTTGTGCTCTGACCTCCACTCATGGTGTGGTACTGGCATAGCACCGTTCCCCCCTCCAAAAAAAAGGAAGAAAAAACAAATAATAAAAAAGGATTCCAGATTTTTGCTCCATGAAATTGAAAGAACAGTCTAAGGATTTCTTGATGATGGCGGTGATGATAATAATAATAATAATAATAATAATAATAATAATAACAACAATACATTTTAAAAAGTATACTGGAGAACACACAGTGTCCATTTCTGGCTCTGTGTGCTTGTGTGCATAAGTTACATGAAAGGGTCAGATGGAAGGGGAGGGGGGAGGTCCTCCTCCCCTATCAGTAGACTTGGAAAGGGGAAGGGAGGAGATGAGGGACAGAGGGTGGGATTGGGAGGGAATGAAGGAGCAGGCTACAGCTGGGATACAAAGTAAATAACATGTGATTAATATAAAAAATAAAAATTATAAAAATAAGTACAGGAACACCTGCACACAGATAAATTAATACGTGTGCACAGGAACATATGCAAATGCACACACCACACAGAGATATAGAGCAGTGACAATAACGTGCAAATCTACACCTTTTCTAGCAAAGCGTGGTTAAAAAAGTAGATCCTGTATTTGAACTATACAAACCTCCCTTTGAAAAGGAGA